AGAACAAGTCAAACCCAAAGCTTGTATGAGGGTGGAAATTATAAAGATAAGAGCAGAAACTAATGCAATAGAGACTAAGAAAACAATACAAAAAATCAACCAATCAAAAAGTTGGCTCTTTGAAAGAATAAATAAAATTGATAAACCATTAGCCAACTTCATTAAAAAGAGGAAAGAAAAAACACAAATTCAAACAGCTAGGAATGAAAAGGGGGAAATCACAATGGATCCCACAGAAATCCAGGAGATGATCAATACATACTATGAGAACCTATATTCTAATTAGAAGGAAAACACAGAAGAGGTGGATAGATTCCTGGACACAATCAAATTGCCCAAACCAAATCAAGAAGATACAAAAATTCTAAATAACCCAATATGAGCCAATCAAATTGAAAATGTAATTAAAAATGTACCAACAAAGAAAAGTCCAGATGGATTCACTATTGAATTCTACAAAAAAATTAGAGAAGAACTAATACCACTAATGCTAAAACTCTTTAAAGAAATTGAAAGGGAAGCAGTACTTCCAAAATCATTCCTGGAAGCAAGTATTACCCTGATTCCAAAACCAGAGAAAAATGCAAACCAAAAGGAAAACTACAGGCCAATCTCCCTCATGAATATAGATGCAAAAATCCTTAATAAGATAATGGCAAACAGAATACAGCAAATAACCAAGAAGACTACAAATCATGACCAAGTAGGATTCATCCCAGAGATGTAGGGATGATTTAATGTATGCAAATCAATAAATGTAATACACTACACCAACAGAACCAAAGACAAAAATCACATGATCATCTCAATAGATGCAGAGAAATCATTTGACAAAGTCCAACATCCATTCATGATAAAAACCCTACAGAAACTTGGAAAAGGTAGTCCTTACCTCAAAAAAGTCTTTACCTTATAAAAGACAAACTAACAGCTAACATTTTATTAAATGATCCAAACCTGAAAGCTTTCACTTTAAATCAGGAACAAGACAAAGATGCCAGTTATCACCACTCCTATTCAGTATAGCTCTGGAAACATTACCAGAGCAATTAGACAAGAAGAAAAAATAAAGGAAATGAATATGGGAAAGAGAGAAGTTAAATTATCAATATTTGCAGATGACATGCTACTCTACATAGAGGACCCCAAAAACTCCACTAAAAAACTTGTAGATTTAGTATCAGTAGTGTGGCAGGATGTAAAGCCAACCCTCAAACATCAGTAACATTCTTGAACAAAAGCAACAAACTCATAGAAGGAGAAAATAGAGAAAGCACAACCTTCACAATAGCATCTAAAAAAAAATGAAATACTTAAAAATCAATCTAACAAAGGATTAAAAGATCTGTATGATGAAAATTACAGTACCCTGAAAAAGGAGGTCAAAGTGGATGTCAGAAGATGGAAAGCTATACCTCGCTCTTGGATAGGAAGAACAAATATACTGGAAATGACCATACTCTCAAAACTCCTGTACAGATTTAATGTAATCCCAATCTAAATACCATTAGAATACCTTGCAGATCCAGAAAAAACATTCCTAAAATTTATTTGGAACCGGAAAAGACCTACAATAGAAAAGCAATTCTTGGCAACAAAGACAAGGCAGGAGGCATCACAATTCCAGGCCTGAAAGTATACTACAAAGCTACTGTGACAAAATTAGCATGGGAGTGGCAAAAAACAGGTCTGAGGATCACTGCAACAGAATAGAAGATTAGATGCAAGTACAAACACACTCAGCCACCTTATCTTTGACAAAGCGCCAAACATGTTTACTAGAAGAGAGATACCTCTTCAATAAATGGTGCTGGAAAAACTGGCTCTCCACATGCCAAAGACTAAAACTACACCCATGTCTACTATCATGCACTAAACTACAATCAAAATGGATCAAAGATCTAAATATTAAAATAGAAACACCAAATTTACCAAAAGAGAAGATAGGTAAAATCTTAAAGATGTAGGTGTAGGAAGAGACTTCATGAACAAAACCCAGACTGCAAGGGAAATAGTACAAAGAATCAACAGATGGGATCTCACCTTATTAAAAAGCTTTTGCACAACAAAAGAAATCACCAACAGAGTGAAAATACAACCCACAGAGCAGGAAAAAATTTTAGCCAGTTGTCCCTCAGACAAGGACTTCTATCTAGAACACATGAAGATTTGAAGAAAATCAGACCTCCCAAATTCAAAGACCCAATCCAAAAATGGGCATCTGAGATGAATACATTCTTCTCAGATGAAAAACTACAAATAGCAAATGAATACATGAAAAAATGTTCAACATCATTGGTCATTCTAGATATGCAAATTAAAACAACACTGAGATTCCATCTCACCCCAGAAAGAATGGCTATCATCAAAAAATCAATGGTTAACAAATGCTGGCAGGGCTGTGGGGAAAAAAAGAAATCTCCACTGGCAGTAGGAGTGTAGGCTGGTTCAACCACTATGGAAATCAGTTTGGAGATTCCTCAAAAACTAGGATTATAAGGTCCATTTGACCCAGCTATTCCCTTTTTGGGTATCTTCCCAGAAGAATTAAAAACATCATACCACAAAGATATATGTGCACCCAGGTTTATAGCAGCATAATTTGTAATGGCTGAATCATGGAAACGACCCAAATGCCTAGCGACAAAGGAATGGATTTTAAAAATGTGGGGTTTTTTTAAAATATAATGGAGTACTACTGAGCCATAAAGAAGGATAAACTGGAGACTTTTATAGGTAAATGGATGCAATTAAAGACCATATGCATAAGTGAAATAAATCAGACCCATATGTGTAAACATTGTATTGTCTCACTAGTGTGAAAAACTGAATGAACAAATAAGATCCAAAATGTACAATGGATATTACGGATTGGGAAGCAACTGTTCAAAAGAAAAGACAAACTGTGATGGAGGAAAAGGGAAAGGAAGAAAGGGAAAAATACAAAAAACATATTTATATACAAGATAGTTGATGGTCATACAGCTAGTTTCTGTTAGTTCATTGAAAGGAAAGGTTTGTGCTAATATTGTTTGGATAAGATATCATGCCTGTATCTTGTACTCTGAATAACTACTATGAAAACAATAATACACAGTGTATTAGGTATTATAACTCTCCCACTAACCTGCTTTGAGTCTCTGTTTTATTGTTATTTTTTCTCTTTCAAATAAAAAAAAGAGAGAGAATGCATCTGGAAACTTAGCAATGCCCTTTAGAGCTCACGGCACTGCTCAGCATGCGGCAACGTGAAAAACGTGCAAGGAGCTGGCTCAGACCACAGCACCGTAACAAACGTCCAGTGTCAACAATTAAGTAAGACGGGTAATGGAAAGTCCGCGGTCAAAGTTGGTCTCATGGGCTGCTACAGCAGTAAGTGAAGGGAATGTGCAGCGATACATGTATTTAAGAAAGAAAACAAGACAGACTGAAAATAAATGAGATCATAATTCTACTCAAAAAAGGGCTAGAAAACCAGAAGATACCTTGTAAGAACACAAAAACTGAAAATGAGCTAAAATAATTAAGTTTAAGAGACTAAGATCACGAAGTAAGAGATCAAGCAGAAAACACATCAGTAGCAAATATATAAACAGAACGATTAAAGAGCCCCAAGTGCTTGACCTCATTCTCCAGCAGACCCCTCCCCCACCGCCTCTGCTCTGGACCTCAGACCTCTCCCCCGGCCGGGCGCTTCTCCTGCACCCCGCTCGTGGCTTCTCTGCCCCAGCTTCATTTTGCTTACACAGTTAGGTGGCTTTTTATTGTATTTATTTATTCTCAGTTTCCTTTCATTTTCTGGTATTTTAAAATGTAGTATCTTGCCTGTCACTGTTACATATTTGGAGGAGATAAAACACACTGAAGTGTAAACTCACTTGTTATGCTGATCAGAAGTTACCTCTTTTAAAGTTTTAAAAATTTATTTTTATCTTTAATATGTACATAGTAAGAGATTTCAGTCAAGAGGAATAGAGCACACCATAGTGTTTTATATTCCATTCTGTTTACGCTATTTAGGTTCCCAGGAGATGACAAATAATGTAACAAAACAAGTTCTGTATATAACCCGGATAAAGTTGTAATTATCAGTTTTATCACACTACTGGGTATGTATAATTACTTTGTAAAACATTTTCCTCCAAGATAACCCATTAATCTAACCCCTCTTCACAGCCTTCGCTGCGATACTGTCTTCACCCTTATATTTCCCCCCCACAACAATCATCTGCCCAAGGCCCACTTTCTAGTGACTAAAAATCTCTTCCAAAGCATCTTTCCTAGCTGAACCGCACTTTGCTCCCCCTAGACTTCCTGCGCCCCTGTACGCGCATGCTGGACCAGTATCTGTCAGTACTTATAACGTATATGTTCACAACTGGAACTCACCCGTTCAGCAACACGATAAAGTTAAGGAGTTGATGTCATAAAACGAGAAAAGTCTGGGGTTTCAGGCTTAGACAAACCCAGCTCCAGGCCCCGGCTCCATCATTGTGTGAGCCTGGGAGAATACCTTGGACTCTCGGAGTCTTCCTAGTTGTACATTCAAAACAATAACACCTAACTTCCAGATTGCTGTGAGGACAGAATGAAATAATGTGTACAAAAAAATCTAGTAGTTGTTTCTCAAAAAGAACATATTTTCTCCCTTCTTTCCTTCCATGTATTTCACAAGCGTGTTACTACTCTCTAGCTGGTAAGCTGCTTCAGCATCAGGACTTACTCTGATTAAAAGCATCAGCTCGGAGATCTGACAGAAGCAGGTATTCAGGTATGTGACGAAGATGCGCACACCCCGCTTCCTACCCAGCTGCTCTGACGGTGCCCCGCCAGGGCTGCGAGGCTACTCGAGGACACATCACCTTCCGAGAGGCCCACACGCTCACTACGGGCAGCACAGCGGAATGAAATCGCTGAGGTCTGAAACCGAAGCTCCCCATCAGATAAGGGCAGAGGCGACGCGCCAAGATTCGGGAACGTAAGCTGGAGGCCCCGCTCACCTGCCATAGCCAGCTCCCCTGCAGCAGGATGAGGCTCGTCCGCAGCAGCTCCAGGAGCACGTTGTTCCGCGTAAGGAACTCCATGAAGGCAAGCAGGCCTGCCAGAAAGGAGACCAAGACCAGCATCTGGTGCACAAACACGTCCAGCACTTCCCGGCCGTGAGTATGATTTTGGAAGATAAAAGCTAATAGATGGGGAAAGAAACAGTTTGTCTCTTTTAAGTGAAACACAAGGCACCCACCGCCCTTCTTCCTCCCTCTGTTTTCACATAATTTTACACACACACGTGCACAGCTCTTCCGAAGGTCAGGCTCCCCACGACTGTAACAATAATGCATTTTCTCACGCTCGGAGTCGTCACTGCCTCTCCAGAGTGAAATCTGCAAAATGTAATCTTGCTTTTCCCTCCTTCAACCTTCAATCTAGCCTCTAACATACCATGACATTTTCAACTTCGTAAATTTCAAAGCACCATCTATTTCCAGTGATGAATAATAAGCACATCAGGGATGGGGAGCTATAATTACTGTGCATATGCAGATGAGTAAGCTGAAGCCAAAGACTTGCTGAATGAATGCAGCCCACTGGAGGAAGCAATGCATATATAATCGTAAAGGTGCACACTGACAGGTGCGGCCCTATGGAATCCCAGTTCCTAGAAACGAGCTGAGAACTGCCTTTCCGGAAGCAGTAATTAACTGCTTTCTCTCACTTCATGGACAGTTTCCAGTTTCATCTAAGCCTTTTCCTTCAAAGAAGAAAAATGTTCCTTCAAAATACAGCAACATCCTTAGATAACGAGAATCACATTATTAGTGTTTGGCATCTATCCTTTATCTAGCCTCTGTTCTCAAAAAAATTTTTTTTAATTACCTATTCTAGAAAAAAAAGAGAGGAACAAGCAAAAGTTCTTATCTTCAAACGTGGGGGACGGGAAGAAAACTTAGCAAGTGACTGCCTCCTAGTCATCGGGGGCTTTTGTTGTTGCATAAGAAACTTATTTCTTACATGTGCAGTACATAAAAACAAATCATTAAATACTTGTTTACTTTCTCGCCCTATAGTAACCAGGAAAACCAGCTGAACAAAAACCTACTGCTTTTCATCAACCTCTCACAATTAAAACCTCGTCATTTGTAGCTGAATGTTTTGGACCCCACTTCTCATGCAGTGGCAGAGTTTTACTATACTAATATGCTAGAAGCTGGATAGTAGATAAGGAAAGGTGTTCTGCTGTGAGTGATTGCTCCATCTCTGGATATTCTTGGTCCGTTTCTCTAAGTTCGGTTTTCATTCTTAAAAATGGAAAAATTATGATCCCCCAGCCAGCCAGGAGGTGAGGAGCTAATGCAGGTAATTCCTTCGGAATCGTGTGAAATGTGAGTAAAACACATTTCGATGGTGCTTGTCCAGTTCTACTAAATGAATCAGTGAGGAAGGTGGATCTTCGCTCTCCTGCCTAAGACTCTGCCAAAGTGCCTCACTACGACCAGATACATGGCCCTGTAAATCCAAGCTGCATGAAAACACTAAAGACATATTATCAGAAGGGGGACGCAAATGCCACTGGTAGAGGAATGTAAGGAAAAATACTCATACTTACTCTCCACAAATAACGCGTTGGACAACATTAACTTGCTTAAGGAGACGGGAAGTGAGCTGATGGTGAAGCATAAGATGTTAGCCACCCCGAGCAGCCCGAAGAAGAAATACATGGTGCAATGATGCCAGCCTGCGAGCTGGTTCCACTGGCCCTCCTTGTACAAAGTCAGGTAGGGTCCTCCAGAAATAAACTGCTCCCCAGCTATGCCTGAAAAGGAACGAACGTATCACAGTTTGAGCACCGCTCTCCATGATGACGCCAGCATGCATGGCGGCACGGGAGCAGGCGCGCCCAGGGCCCGTTTCAATCCGCGGCTGTCCTGTGTACTTGCTCTCTTCTCTCTCAGCTGTTCCCTAGCAGCGAGCAATGGTAGTGTAGGCTTTTATTTTTCCTCAAGGTTCAGACAACCAAGTTTTGTCAAAAATGACCAAGGTATTCAAACAGCTATTTCCGATCTTCAGTACGAATGATGTCAGTTCAGTTGTCTCTTCCAGCCTAACGACTAAGGTAAATCTTGAATTACTTGGATTTATGGGATCAGCTTGACAGAGGCTGACTGCTTCTTCTTAGATATTACATCTTTGGGTCGCTGCCACAGAGTAAGGAGTTGTCCTGGCTTCTCAATAAAAGTGCTGAAATGTTCTGCTTTCCCTACCTGAAGATCACTAAGGAGCCCCAGACAGCTGTAGCATATGATACAGTCACTTACACAAACAATTTAACTTTCTTTGAGATGTTTCCTTATTTGTTAATCCATTGAATTAATTAATTAATTTATATATTCATTTTAGCAGTGGCAAAGTTTATTTGAAAAAGTAAAAGTGAAGAGTGAGGGAGAGGCACTCTGCGGAGCGAGCTCGGACTGGGTAAAAGGAAAAAGCAAGAAAAAGGACATTCTGGACAAAGCGGCACGGGCGAGCGTGAGGACAGCCAAGACGGCAAGCTCTTCCTGGCGCCTTTAATCCAGTGAGCTTAGCAAGGAAATTTCTCCTTGGAAATGGTTACTCTGTAACTTTACGGTCATAGCAAAGTCCTATTGTCACGGAGAAAGCATTAAAAAAATTTTAATGGGAAGCTTCACCTTGTACAAAAGAAAGATTTTAATGGGACTCTAAAAGCAGAATATTTCATAGAATCCATATTACTGAAGGTTTCCCATGTGCACTTGATTATTTTGGTGTCATTTGAAAAATGGTTTCTAACAGTTTTATTTCTCCAAGTATGAAAACAACCTATAATAACATTATTTCAAAGGTCCCAACACATTCTGTAAAGGAAATTCACCTTGACTGTGTAGGCAAATCAACTATTGTGAACAATTCATTAAGGAACAGGCTTTTGTATGAACATAAAGCATCACTTCCCAAACAAATTATGTCAGATAGACGTTACACTTAGAATATATATAAGAACTACAAAATTCTTCATAGCAAATTTTTTATTTTGTATATTGAGTCTTCTTTTTACGCATGAATATGCCTCAAAGAAAGAACAGGAAAGGCCTACTCACCAGTTAAGGCCATGCTGATTATTACAATTCCCTCCAAAATTTCTATTCGATGGAAAAATGTTTTGGAACCGAGGTGGCAAGTCCTCTTTTGCTTTTTGCAGACATACTTCAAAATACTCTTTGTACTCCACCAAAAACCCATGATGAAAAAGAAGCTTCCAGGAAGGGCATGACCTTTGAAACTTCCCATGATCTACAAAGATAAGAATATACAGAAAGCAGACATTTCATTTTTTGAATTGGCCAAAACACATCTTATTTACATAGATAACCTTTTGATTATTATGGGCACATTGTAGATCCCACTACATATCAACCTCAATGAAAAGAAAACAAAAATTCACATTTGTGGAGTATTTTCCATATAATAAGCATGGTGTCAAGCGTTTTACATGGTATGTACAACCTTATTTTTGTAACACACCCATGCATGAGACAGTATTAGTCCGACTTCAGTGGAGATACTGGTTTAGAAAATTTTATGGCTTTCCCAGATCTCACAAGGATTAGGCAAAACTTTAGTCTTTTTAACACAGAGCTGAAAAGGATTTCTTTAAAAGGCAGTATGTACCTTAGCATACAGTTGACCTTTAATCGTATTTAAAGCTAATGTAAAAGTTTGCTCCATATATTTAAAACTTGAAGTAACGTGAAACTGCCTACAAACGAACGTTTTAACTAGATAATTTCAAAGCACCCAACATCATATTGGGAAAGAGACCATGAGACTTTTGCATGTGCTCCTTCCCACACTGCCCGAGCCTCTCCTCCTGTTAGACTGGAACTGTGTTGCTAAGTTCAGGCTAATGCATTGAGTCACTTCTAGCCTGAGTCTGTTAGGGCTCTGTGACTCTCTTTCCTCTCCCTTCTCCTGTCTTGGCATCCTTGGTGTAGTATTATCTCCAACACAAAGGATAATTATGCAGCCTGCTTCAGAATTGGCAAGGAACAACACCTCATTGTGCTAACCTACTGAAACTGTGAAGTTTATTTTTCAAACACCTTAGTCCTTAGGCAGATGCACGCCAACCAAGCTATACTGCAAACTTTGTTTACACTGTATCACGTGATGGGGTCACCTCTGACTGATAACCAGACAGACCCTCCATGCTGGGTCAGTGACACAGAAAGCCACTCTTGAATTATGGGAGTTTCTAATGATACAAGTAGCACCTTGTTCAAACATACGAAACCATTAACAGAATAACGAAGAAGGGTTAAGATCATTTTTGTTGATTTAACAGTAGGTCAGATCCAGGCAAATACACGAAGGGTCATTTCAAGATTCCCCCGGCCCGGCAGACTTCTTACCTCCTTCAGTGAGCACAGCGCCTGTTTCAGGCAGAGCACTTTAGGTTACCTTCAAGGTCCTCTGATTTGAAGGTAAACTTCCAGAAAACTGTGCAGTTAACCCAAACACCAAGAGCCTCAAATCACAGTCAGCATCCCAGACGCTCATTTCAGTGCTCCCTTGAACCACGCAACCACCCAAAAGAATCGAACTGAATAATCCCTAAGTGCTGGGCGCAAGTTCTCACCCTAAACCTGGCCCTAGGGGTTGGGCTTCGGTCACATCCTTTAACTTTTCTTATCTTTAGTTCTTTTTTGTTTAAGAGAAAAAAGATAAACAAACAATGAAACCTAGTTTAAAACAGGTTAGCGGGACAGTTACAATAGTTGATACAGTGCGGGTAGCTGTCTGCCTCGTAGTTAATCGGAGTACAAGATACAACTTTGGGGCTTAGTGAAGAAGAGGAGGCCATGGGCCTGGTGGTACCTGGAGTTCTTGCTCTGTCTGATTCATGATCCCAACCACCACCTGTATCACAGTCACTGAGTCTACCTGTTTGTTTTGATGTAGGAAACCCCGTAAGATTGGTAGATACTTCTACATGGGACTGTAAACTTTTTGAACTTTCCTGAAAAACAATTTTATATGATTCTAAAAATCTTTAACATTTTACATTCCTTTGTACAGGAAACTAACCTGCAGGAATTTACCCTGCAGACATACTTGGAAATGTACACATCAAATTAAAAACAATATATATGTCAAAAATTAGGAGAATGAATAAATGATTTTGTAGCTACTACAACATAGTTTTAAAATGTTTTTAATGATAAACATATATGTAATGACAAGAATAGGTTCAAATTAGGGGCAGAAGCTTGAACTCAGACTGAGGAGGTCTTTCTTTTTTGTTCTTTTATGTCTTTTTGAGACAGGATCTGGCTATGCAGTTCAGGCTGGCCTTGAGCTCACTCTGTAGTCCAGGTTAGCCTCAAACTCACAACAATCCTCCTGCTTCAGCCTCCCAAGTGCTGGGATTACAGGCATGCACCACCATGCCCAGCTATACTGAGTAGGTCTGAATGCCAACTTTATCATTTACTAGCTACATGGTTTTTAGAAAGTTATTTAACCTCTCAGCTTCTAAATCTCCTCTTCTGTAAAACGGGACAAATAATTTTTCCTTCATAAAGTTAAAAGGAGTTACTCCAAAGCAAAAAACATACAGAACTACTGAAAAAGCTCATGTATCCTCATCCCACCTCAGACTACTGGAGTAAAATCAAACAAACAAGGCACTGGACACGAACTACAAAAGCAGCATCTCTATACAGTTAATTTGATAATCGTTCACGTGACACCTACGATGCTTTGTGCAGTAACCATGGAGGGCCACTGGGCCTTCTGTGGTCATTTATTCCTTTAATGAAATTAGAGAATAAACTCCTAGAAAAAAGGAATAATAAACCTATTCTATTCCCACTGGAACTGAAGTGGGTAGTGTATATACCATTAAATTATAAATTAGTAAGTTTTTCTTATAATACAAGGTCCTTTACTTAAGAAACATCTCTGATGTCTCAAAAAGCACCTCATACTCAACATACCTAAAAGTGAACTGGAAGTGAATGTTTCATTTACAACCCACCGCCAGAAAGTAACTTTTTCCAGTTGCCTGCAGAGTGATTTGTATTTGACAATACTGTACCATTCACCTACTTGCCCAATCCAAGATAGGAAGCCATCCTGGGGTATGGCTATTTCCCTAAAACTAGTCATGGAGACTTACTGCCTTTGCTCCTGGCCTTAACATTCCCCTGACACAAACTTAGCTGACTTCCTTCAACCCGCTTCGGTTTCATCTGTTTGTTCAAAGTTTCTCTGACACCCAAACAGGGGAGGCTGCTTTCGCACCCGCTCCGGGCACCCGGTCCTCCTTCGTCTCAGTGCCCTCTCTGCATGATTAGTTACAGAAGATTTGTCCCTTTTTTTTGTCTTTCGGCCGCTATGATCTCAGCATATCATCAGAGCTGTACAGAAGTTAACTGGGGCTTTTCAGAAGTTAGGGACCAGGCCATCTCTAGCTTTTATTTTGAGGCCCAATGTATACTTTAAAAGGAAAATGCCAAACAAAGTTGCAAAAATTATAGTTACTTTTAAATGTTAGAGCTACCCACTTACTACTTGCACTTTTAACACACAAGTAAAACATTGCTTATGTCATGCATAACTTTGAACCGAGGGTCCCTCCTGAAGGCATAGCTCCTACCATCGCCAGGATCTGCTGACAAGAGCCTGCCGCCTCACACAGAAGAGGAAAAACATCTCAGCCCGCCTACCGGAACACGGTAAGGAAGTGAACGACAGGGCAAGTTTTTAGTGAAGGATGTGAGGGGATCCGAGTGGAGAAAGAAGCGAGCATTTTCCCGCTTTACCCATACAGCGTGCATATTTGGCCTTTCAAGCTGAGAGTGGGACGGCTCAGATCTGTCCATGTGAGACTCAAACAAAACAGAATCAGAGAAGGCTCGGCATCTTTGCCTAGCTCAGAGACTCAACAAGGCCACTTATTCCTCGCAATACAAATGGCGTTAATTTTACTTCGTCTTCATTGTGGATAGAAAATATGGCACACCATCAAACAGCATTTCACTCTGACCTTTTAGAAATCATTGTCCATCCATCAGTCTATCACTACCTGCTCTACTAACCCAAGTAAACTAAGAGACTTTGCTGAGCTTTAAACTCAAACAGCATTCCCTTCGCACCCACAAAGTAGAATATTGCCAGGCAGCCAGCAAAGACCCTGGGGAAACAACAGGTAGGAAACCGAAAGATTATTCCTCAGGAATGTCTTATCCAGTTCTACGCACAAGATTACACACTTACCTCCAGAAAAGTGTCCATCCTTAGAGTCAGACTCTTCCCCAGTCCAAATAAACCTATCATTCCAATCATACCAAGCATCACCTTCTCAGATGAAGACAAGAAAACCTTCTGATATTCCCTCTGGCCCCCTGTTGCTGAGATAAGTCTGCTGGGCCACACAGACAGACAGACACACACACACACACACACACACACACACACCCATAGAATATTTCTAAACTCCAGCATTTAGAAATATTGTTAGGTAAAAGCCCAAGATCTAAAAGAAGTGTTAGGTGCTGATTTCCCGGTGTTGTACCCACACAGACTACAGACCAGGTCTATGAAAGAGAGAACTGAAAATAGCCCAGAGAACGACATTCAACAATCTCCTCAGTAGAATCTAAACAGCTAATTTCAATGTGAAATGAAAGCAGCACTGTGAGGAGAAGAAGCTCAAACTAGAATTTTATCTTGAGCCATCAACACACCCAACAGTGCTACATTTCAAGTCTTAATGAGTGACTCATGGTTCAAAACAGATTTTTAAATTCTGACAGAGTAAATAAACTTGTACTATTTCTTTACTATTTTACCATTTGCCTCATTAACAGCAAAGCATATACCGGCACATGTAGCTTTAAAATTTTTTGATTATCCATCATTTCATACCAATACTTTTCCAAATTTCAATTGTTTCAAAATAATTTTCTTATGCTCTCCTTACCTTTGAAGTTCCTCAATGTCAAGTCCAACCCAGATCCCTTCTCTTAAGAATTTATACTGGTTTTAGAAAAGTAGATTCTGGCTGATCCTAAATCTAAATCTACTTCCTCCTCATCCTGTAAGACTAAACTAATGTGCTCACCTCCTGAACATGAAGTCAAGCTGATAAACTTTCACACGATATCGCAATATATTTAAATCCAGTGAACACACCCTCTTCAGCATCGTGTCTCTTCATCTGGCTGTTGTGCCATAGGTAGTTTAGGCAGTCCTCACCACGCTATCCCACACACCAAGGTACGAGCCCC